CCAGGGTATCTGACATTTTGTTGACTATGGTTAAGATAGCCAGGAAAGGTCGTTAGCGATTCGAAGTGGCATGTTTGTACTGCCAAAGGAGCCTCTGAAGGTTGAAGTGTATGTGTGTATTTCATTGCTGATCATATAATGCAGGGTTGAGGTATGAGCAGTGTGAGTCACCTTGATGTAGTAGAGCCAAGGGTCGAAACTCCTGGAGTTACCAGAAATCCTCAAACCCTAGAGGCCAAACTCCACTCCGCAGGATTAGACCTGAAAGTGAAGAGGAGCCCTTCCACCTGCAGACGTGTCATTAACACTTGACAATAAAACCTTTACAGAGTGACATGCCATTGAGTCATAAGAGCCATTTTACCCTCGATTGTCTCGTGCAAGCCTTGTAGTATTCTATGCATCATGAATCATAAAGCTGTGCAAGACTTTGACTTTCTTTTGAAAACAGATACGTTATGGTTTTCAAATTGTTCCTTAACTTCCCTAGGCTGCAGAATGAGTTCCGGGACATCCGAGGCTACCCAGAAAAACCCTGTCTCGAAAAACCAAAGGGCCAAAGGGCGGGATTATAGCAGTCAAACCCTACGGGCTCCTTGAACACTATGATCTCTCTAAAGATTTAGGAAAATTAGGTTGGTGAGATGGCACAGTGGGTAAAGGCTCTTAATATGCAAGTCCAACACTTAACGTTTGAACCCTGAACTCACATAAAGGTGGAAAAACAAAAATGGTTCCACAAAGTTATTCTCTGCCCTCCATATTGGCACACATAATAAATGAAGTTATGGGGCTGGAGAGATGGAGCTCATGGAGGAAGAGCCCTGTTTCTCTTACAGAAGACCTAGGTTGGGCCCCAGCACCTCTGAAGGCACCAGCTGTACACAGGGTACACATACACACAAGCAGGCAAAATGTTCATAGGTATAAAATAAAGAAAAGTCAACACATACAAAGACACAAATAAATAGCCTTTCTTGGGATGTTACTGTTGGATCTGTAACCTGGTGCCTCGTGCCTGCCAGACAAGCACTTCTACCATTGAGCTAGCTATACCCACAGCACTAAAAAAAAACCGACTCTTGGTTTTTTTTTTTTTAATTGTACATACAATTTTTTAAAATTGTAATGTTTTATTAGCATCTTAATTATACACAATAATGGTTTGCATTATTTTCAGATATGTACATAATATATTTCAATCTTATTCTCACACACACTTCTCCCCCTTACCATCTCTCTGGTTGCCTCCGCTACTGTCAATCCCCTTCCACTAAATAACAATTTTGTTTGTTGGTCTAAGTAAGTAGCCCAGGCTTACCCTGAACTCACCTCCCCCTCCTCTGCTTCTCTAATGCTGACATTACAGATAGTGCCCCATCCAAATCTAAACAGCAGGGTTTTGGGTGGGGAGCTTTTGTTTGTTTGCTTGTGTTTGTGTGCACATATACGAGTGTGTAGAGGTCATTAAAAAAAAAAGTGTCAAATACCTTGCAGCTGGAGTTACAGTGGTTGTTGGCCACCCACTTGGATCCTCTGGAACAGCAGTGAGTTCTCTTAGCTGCTCTGCCATCTCTCCATGCGGAAACAGCAGTTTTTAAGGTTCAGTGAATACTGGTCTGATTACAACATTGATTAGATTCATTACTGAGTTAAAATGCACTTACAGACAATGACATGATAGCCTGAACTCAGTAATAAACTACAAACGCCCATCACTACTACTTGGCAAATAGAAATTGGATTGGAGTTGGGCTTTGAGCACTCCTTGTGCTCCCAGGAAGTTACAGCCAAGGTTGCATGGTGCTGCAGCTGCTGAAGATCTTGCTTCCTTCCCCATCACTGTGGTTAAAAGGCTTCCTCCAGCTGGGTGCAGTGGTGCACACGTGGGATCCTGGTACTACAGAGACTAAGGCAGAAGAGCTTCAAGACCATAGTAAAGTCCAGCCCAGCACTCAGGGAGACCAGAGGCCAATCCACTTACAACCTATAGAAAAACATTAAAGGAATGTGTCACCCAGACTTAACAAAATAACAAACAGTCATGTTCTTGGATATTTGTTTAATAAAACTTATGTATACAAGAAGCCATCCTTCTTCAGGCCCTTACCACCTCCCTTGAATGCATCAGTCAAGTAATATGGTTTCTCCATGGAAAAATACGGGGCTAAAACTTGTTTTTTAGGTGTTAAATCTCCCTTCACCTAGGTCAAAAATAGGGTTTTTAGTATTTAAATTCAGGACATGGTTTAAATAGATGTTTAAAAAAATAGCTACCAAACTAGAATAGCTATTAGCTCCTGGCTAAGTTCTTTTCAAAATGAGTTTCATCCATAGCTGCCTCCTCCAACTCTAGGGGTCCAGTGAGCTCTAACATGCTCAGAATGCTGTGCTCATACTTCATTGCTCTCCCAAAATATACACTAGGAAAAGGACACAGGGATCAGAACGCTGGAAAGCAAAATAGACTTTCCCAGCATAGATCCTGAAGTTGGCAATGTGCTTACTGGTTCTGTACACTCTGACAAACGGTGGCATCTGTTTCAACTTGTTGAAGACTAGCAAAAGCTGTGTCAGGACAAGCTCTGGTGGTGTGCTGTAGAAAGAGTATACAACTGGGCTTGCTGAGTGGACAAGAAGCCAGTAAGTTGAGAGCCAACAACTGACTCAGCACATTAGTAGGCTGGTTTGCTTACTTGAGCATGAGTCCAGGAGGCTCATACTAGGTTACAAACTAAAGTAACACATGCTTTTAGTAACATGTTTAGCCATCATTTGCATTTTAAAATGAGCCACAAAACACACTATCTTCATTTTCCCCTCTTGCTTTTTTAACACACTTATTTAGTGTGGGTATATATATATTTGTGTGCACATGTGCTTGTCAGAGCACCCATCTGTAGGTCAGAAGAAAACTAGTAGTCTATCTTCTCCTTCCATTAAATGGGACATGGGCAATTGAACTCAGGTCATCAGGCTTGACAGTAAGTGCCTTTATTCTGACTCATTTTTCTGTGCCCGACCTTTTTTTTTTTCTTTTCTAAGATAGGGTCTCTTATACTAGCCTGGGCTGGTCTTCAACTGACACTTCTCTTGAAATTGAGTCACTCTTGCCTGTGCTTCCCAAGAGCTGAGATTAAACATGAGCCAACACACTGTTATGCCTTTTTGTTTTAATAAAAATATTTTAAATAATATTGCTAAAAATACATAGGAAAATGCTAACACTTATTTTACTATTAAAGAAGACCTAAACAGCTTGAGGTTTTAGCAAATGGCTTTTAAGGGTAAGTTTGTATCTTTGCAGGATGGGGAGATGGTTCAGTGGTTAATGGAGCTTACTCCCCTAACAAAGACCTGTGCTTGGTTCCCAGCACCCGCTTCAGTTGGTTCACAGACATTTATAACTCCAGCTCCAAAGAATAAAATGCTCTCCTCTGATCTCCAAGGGGAGCTTAATTCATATACACCACCACCATATGAACACATTATTAAAAATAAAGTCTTGACAAAGCAAAAAGAATGTATCATGTTATACTTTTTCTAAACATGGTCTTCGGATATCTGGTAGAATTAAGGACTCAGTAAAACAGAATCTCAGTCAGTTGTGCAGCATAAAAACCAGCTGATCATGGACTAGAGAGATGGCTCAGCAAGTGTTTCCTAGCACCCAGAGCACATGGAACAACTCAAAGCTGCCTATAACTATAGTACCAAGGGGATCCAGCACCTTCTTCTGGCCTCCAGGGGCATTTGCAGGCACCATCATGCACTTGACAAACTGGCACAACCACAGACATAAAAATAAAAATGTTTAAACCAGCTGATCAGACAGAGTCATGAAATGCCTCTGACCTTCATTGTCACCTTCCAAGCACCTGCACACACACACACACCACACACACACACTGTAAGCCTACACATAAAAATTATAAAAGTAAGAAATCAGCTGATTAGTCAATGTGTTGAATAGGCAAACAAGGTATTTACTACTCCCAGATAACGCATAAGCTTCCTAACAAACCCTACAGGATAGGTTTTATGTTACAGTTATGAAACTGTGGTAAAGATTAACAACTAAAAAAATCATAGTGTTGAAATGTGTCGGACAAAAATGATACCTGAGACGTGATGGTTTTGATCCTGTTCTACATAGACACATGGCCTTATAGCCAGTCCCGCCGCCTTGTTAGGTGGGCTAACTGGATCCCTTTGCCATCTGGATGCCCCTCCTGAACCAGTCAGGGCACTTTCATGTAACATCTACAAGAATTTTATTAGGGCCTGGTGGCAAAGGTCTTAAAATCCCAGCTCCTCAAGAGGCTGAGGCAGGAGGTTCAAATTCATGGCCACGTTAGTAGCTTAGTGAGCCCCTATCCCAAAAAGTGAAAAAGTTATGAGGGTACTTGTAGCTCAGTGGTAAGGCACTTGCCTGGGATGTAGGAAGCCCTGTATTCCCTCCCTAGTAAACAGCAGAATTCTGTCTCACAGGACTGAGAGGCATCGAAGTAATCTTAAATATTAATGAATTTTAGGAACTGGTAAGAGGCCTTTGCAAATACAAAGTCCCTTTGTCCACAAGTTTGTCTTTGAGCCTATCTGTTAATTGATGCTAATAATCACAGCATATCCTGTAGCCAATGTAGCGATAAAAATAATGCCTGTAAAACACACAGTGAATTAATCTACTGTACCTGAACACTAAATTCAACCAAAATTTTATTCTTCAGCAAGACACTTTAATTTTCTGGCTCACCAACAAACACTGTAGTAAACCTCTGACGAGCGCTCTGGAAGTGAACAAATTGCTTTCCGGCTCCGAACCTCTGCACCCGTTGTTTTACAGACAGACCGGGACCTAGGAAACCTTGTCCTGAAGGTAGGACTCTGGCCCATTCGTGAATTCCGCTTCTGCTGCCAGGGGGCGCTGTGCTCCACGCCACCTGCCGGAGATGCGCGCGCAGGGAGGAGGAGGTGCCCGCCGGACAAGATGCTCACGTCGAGCAGGGGCGGAGTCTGTGGGGCAAGATGGCGCTGTCCTCTGTTCTGCGTCCGTTTTCGCGGCTCTTGGTCCCCGCCCGAATCCCGAGCTGCTGTGAGTGTCTCTTCAGGCCCATTCGGCCCTCGGCCTACTCCCACCCAGCAGGAACCATCCTGGAACCTCCGTAGGAGAAGGAGGCCGCGGCGCAGGTCCTGCAATGACCTTCAACCGGCCGCGGTGCGGGTTCTCCATTCCTCATCATCGGCCGACAGCCCTCCCCAAACTGCCACTTGGCCTCTGAGGTGGATCTGGGGTCTTTCTGTCCCCGGCGCTTCGAATATGCCCAGGAGACAGCAAACAGGGAGGTCCTTCCAGGGGCTGCCTCTCATCCTCCCACTCCGGCGACATCTTCACGAGGCTTTAAAGGCGCCCTGAGTCCCGAGGACGGCCCTGTGGCTCTGCTTGTGGCCCGGGATGAATTACTTCAGTTCTCTGAACTATGTTTCCTTGACTGTTTAGATTGGGGGGTGGGCAGATAGAGTATAAATGACAGTGTAAAGCCAGGGAAAGTGGGGCTCTCCTGGATTCCCAGCTCTGGGGAGGCAAAGACAGGCGATCAAAAATTCAAGACCAACATGGGCTGGGCTACAAGAAGCCTTATCTCAGAAGAGTGAATTTCATGCAATAGTATGTATACTAATAAATGTCAGTAAGATACATATTCTCTCTCCTTTTTCAGCTCCAACACGGTCAAAGTTCTATGTACGAGAGCCAGCCAATGCCAAACCTAACTGGCTGGAAGTTGGGCTGACCTTGGGCACCACAGTTTTCCTGTGGGTTTATGTGAGTATCCTACCCATTCCATCCCCTGGAGCTGGAATTACAAGTATAGTGTATCAGATGGTGGTTTCAAGAACATAGCTGTTCTCTGATTTCTAATTAGCACACAGAAAAGTGAGGGATGGGGTTGATCATTCACAGTGTCAGACTTATAAGATTGGAATATATATAACATACACAGTAGGATAAAATAGACCAATGTCCTCTATGTAAGCATGTACAGGCAAGCACACACACAGGTACACAAAAGTGTAGCAACCAACCTGGGACACATTTGACATAGAGTGACATGTTTCACAATTCTTCTGTCAAAGAATTGTATCATTCTCAAATTTAATGTTAGGTTGTGGTCAACAATGTACTCCACTAATGTCTCTGGAATTTCCTAGCCTCTTATTTCTAGTAAAATAGTAATTATTTTAACCTACCCTATTTCTCTTATGAAACATAAGGATCTTTACTTGGTTTCCTCCTCTTTAAGCTGCCAGGAAGATTACATTTCTGGTTTTACTATTCACTTGTAGCTCATCAAACATCATAATGAAGATGTTTTGGAGTATAAAAGAAGAAATGGATTGGAATAAACTTTGGAGATATTAATATAGTAAGTATGTTTATAGGGTATATAGATTATGGAAATTAATTTATCTGTTTGTTTGTGGCTGTGACAGGGTCTCACCTGTCACTGGGCATAGTAGCATATGCTTTTTTTTTAGTGCCAGCATTAGGGAGGCAGAGAGGTTGGCAGATTTCTATGAGAACAACCTGATCTTCACAGTGAGTTCCAGGACAGCTAGGGCTAAGTGAGAGACCTTGTCTCAAAAAAGAGAGAGAGATGGGGTATGTCCTTGAGTTCTCTGTATAGACCAGGATCCACTTGCCCCTATCTCTGCCTCTTAAGTGCTGGGATTTAAGGAGTAAGCCAGCACTCCTGGCCTGCAGAATAACTTCAGTACTGGAAGAGGTCATACCTACCTATAATACTAATGCTGCAGAGACTATGGCAAGGAGATGATTGCCCGAGGCTAGCTTGATCTGCACAGCAAGACCTGGTCCCAAACAATGAAAGAAGGAAAAATAACAGTAAAAACAAAATCACCTTAAATCGTATCTCCTTTTTCTAGTATTTTACACATAGTATTCATAGCACTTAGAATAATTTGTGTGTGTTTGCCATGTCTTATACTTAAGTGTGGATTCTGTAACAGCAGAACTCTCGTGTATTTAATTGTTTGGTTCTTAACACTGCACTCAATACCCACCCAGCCATTCTAGGAGTTTAATGTTTGTAGAACCAATGAATGTATAAAGGCAATGTATTCTGACGTTTTTTCTGCTTGACCATTTTATTATGATTGTCACTATAACTAGCATCCAGTTGAGGAGTTCTGGTAAAACCTAATATTAATGAGATATTTTATATTCTCTAACTTCCATAATCTATATACCCTAACAGAAAGAAGATGTGTGAGTATGTGTATGCATGTGTCACACACATACATGCATATAATATGTATATTACACAAATATATATAATATATATGCTTTATTTCTGAAAATTATTTGAAAGAAATCCGTTACCCTTAAAGTGAAAAATCCCTCATTAAAAAAACAAACAAACAAAAACCTTAGCTTATGGGATGAGGAAATAGCTCAGTAGTTAAAGCAGCTGCCACACAGCATGAGGGGCAGAGCTCAGGTCCCCCATAACCCTTTAAAGGCTGGTTTGGCAGCCACTTGTAATTCCAAAACTCTGAAGGTGAACAGAGGATCCCCAGAATAAGATGACTTATTAGCCACTGGTAAGCTCAGGAGTCAGTTGAGAAACCCTACCTTGATGAATAAGGTGGAAAGCCATTGACAAAAACTTAACATCAGCCTTGGGCACAGGACACACAAAATATCTCAGTTTCCATGGATTAAATCTGCTGGATAATAAATATAATAATCTTAAGTACTGATTATACTTAATAGATATATTTTCTATGTTTGTTTTTCTTTGTTTTTTTTCCTGATGCTCTAAGGTGAATTATTCAGAGAAGTCCGGTTTTGTTTTGTTTTTGGGTTTTTTAGTTTTTCAAGACAGGGTTTCCCTGTGTAGCTTTTGAGCCTGGCCTGGAACTAGCTCTTGTAGACCAGGTTGGTCTCAAACTCACAGAGATCCGCCTGCCTCTGCCTCCCAAGGGCTGGGATTAACCAGAGACTCCAGTTTCACCATTATTTGATTTTTTTTTTTTTTCCTTGTCTTTGTAGGTATGCTTCACATGATGATCATGGCCATGCCTCTGGATTCACCCATCTGTCAGTTGTGGATATGAGAAGAAAGTTACATGTGAATATGTATCAGTCAAGTTCACATGTGCATTTTACATTGTTAAACAAATAAAAATACTTAGTTCTTCACATGTAGAGATGGATTCAGTAATCACTGCTGATGGCTTCTTTTCAACCTTTAACTGTTTTATTTTTATGTATTTATTTATTTATTTTGTGTTTGCATATATGTATGTGTACCATGTACATGCAGTGCCCATAGAAGCCTAAGCTGGAGCTATGGGTGGTTGACAAGGATATTGGGAACCAAACTCTAGTCCTCCACAAAAGCACCAAGTGTTTCCAACTGCTGAATCCCTCTTGTCAACTTTCTTTCTTTTTGAGACAATGTCTCACTTGTAGCTCTGGCTGTTCTAGAACTCACTGTGTTGTCCAAATTGGCCTTGAACTCTCCTAGACCCACCTGCCTCCCTCCTGAGAGCACAACTGTGGCTAGCCCTCCTCAGCTCTTTTATCAAAACATTTAGATGCCTAAGAGACTTTATTATACAAAATACAAAAGAGCCCAAGTAATATCTTGTTGATAAAGAGGTGATAAGTCAGACAGTAAAGATAAACCCTATTATCAGAGTTGCCTCTGTCTCCATTTACTTGAATTTGAATCATTTTGTAGACATGACTGGGCGTTTGTCTGTGGGTGTCAGTGAGGAGTGCTTGCCTACGTGTGTGCACATCATGTGCAGTCTTGATGCCCTGGAAGGTCAGAAGAGGGCATCTGATTTACAGAGGTTACAGAGGTTTGTGAGCCTGCGTGTGGGTGCTAGGAACCAAACCCTAGTCCTCCACAAGAATAACTCCTAACTTCCAAAGCCATCTAGCCCCATAGTGACTTTCTGCTCACTTTTTTTTTTTTTTTAAGATTTATTTATTTATTCTGCATACATGTATCTCTGCAAGCCAGAAGAGGGCACCAGATCTCATTACAGATGGTTGTGAGCCACTGTGTGGTTGCTGGGATTTGAACTCAGGTCCTCTGGAAGAGCAGTCGGCGCTATTTACCTCTGAGCCATCTTGCCCTTTTATGGCCTCATGAAGTTTTCCATTGGCTTTCAGCCAAGTTACAGCAAACTATAGGTTTTTAAAGAAGGACACCAAGCTGGCAAGATTGTCAGTGGGGAAAGTGCTTGCTGGCCTGCCAACCAGAGTAGGATCTCTAGACTCCTCAAAAAGGTAGACAAGAATTGTCCACTGACCACAACACACACAGCAATAAACTAAAAATGAGTAAAGGTGGAGGCGCTGCATGGTGGCCTTGTAACTAGCCAGGACTATGTAGTAGTAACAAGGTCCTGTCTCAAAAAGCTGGAGACTAGCACAGTAATAAAGCCCTTGCCTAGTATTCTTGAAGCCCTGGGTTTAATCACGAGTATCATGAAAATGTTAAAAGGAGAGAATTAGATACAGTTTTAAATGATTTCTGCTGTGAAGTCTTTAATAGCTGGTATTGCATGTGTTTGGGGGCTGGAAAAAGCATGGCCTAGTGTCTTTTGGTGTCACGGACAAAAATTCAAAGTTATAGTATTTGAAAATAATTACACAGATGCCATGGAAAGTCAAAGTTAATAGTAACTTAGCTTGTGTCAGTTTGGATTCCTTGGAAGGGAAAACTTGGCAGATTGTAGACCAAGTTCATGCAAATGCAGTAACAGAGAAGAGTAATCTGTCAGGAAGGCAGTCCAACAAAGTCATGTCCTGCCTAGAACATTTGTAAATATTAGACTCCATGACAAAGAAGAGTCAAAACTGCTGCTGGAATTAGGATTGCCAGTAGGTCAACATTGAGATGAAATTATCTGGAGTTGGGCCCATCGCACAGGTCTTTACAAGTGGCCATATTAAATCAAACCCACTATTGCTAGGCTGTTTGCTATAGTGTATGAGTGACAAATCTAGGGCCTTGCACCTACCATACAAGCACCCCTTAACTCCATCTCCACCATTTTTGGGGTTGATGGTAGAAGGAGGTTAAGAGCTAAGGAATATCAAGAAAAAAATTGAATATAAGCTGGGTGAGACATACCCATAAAACTTCAAGTTAATAAGTGCATGGTGTTTCAGGTTGCTTGATTTGCTAGCACACCTATAGGAAACTGGTGCTATCACATAAAAATTGAGGCCAAAAAAGTCAGTTAACTCCAAATTAATAACACTTTTTACACACACACAAAGCACTTAAAAGCTCACATCTCTACAGAGTCCAGAAAACATAAGACACCAGCAATTTTGGAAGCAGAAAGTTTTAGTTGGAAATAGAGCATACTTTTTTTCTTAAGATTTATTTATTTTATATATACATTGGGGTTTTGCCCTCGTGTATGTGTGAGGGTATTGAATCTCCTGGAAATGGAGTTAAAAGCAGTTTGAGCTGCCATATGGGTGCTGGGAATTGAACCTGGTTTCTCTGGAAGAGCAGCAGTGCTCTTAACCACTAAGCCATTTCTCCAGCCCCCTAAAGCATACTTTTTTTTTTTTTCACAGTCTATGGAGCCTTTTTATGTATGTGTTTTACATCTCTATAAAAAGTTCCTCCACTATGTTTCCACCTTGCTTCTTCATGGTGCATGATGCCAGCTGAGGCTGTCAATACAATGAAGCCAAACTGACTAGATGGGAGCAGATTGTTCTGCTATTTTTCTAGGTCTTTGAGCTGCACATCAAATCTAGGGGTGATCACTCCACAGTTGTTCAACCTTCTTGTGAGGTTCACGACAATTTTCCTAGCTCTGTGGTCATCGATGATTTCAAACTCACCAATGTAACCATGCTTCATCATCACAGTTAGGAACCTAGTGATGGCTTTGGAGCAGGGCCTGATAAGGACCTGGCATTTGCCTCTCTTCTTCATTGTTGATGGCTTCAGAGCATCAGCCAGGACATACATGCGTACCATGGTGACAGCATGGAAAGATGGCAGAAAGAGCTAAAGCATACTTTTTAAAAACAGATTTATTTATTTATGGGTACGCTGTCTTCCTGTACATCTACATGATAGACGAGGCCATCAGATCCCATTATAGGTGATTGTGAGCCACCATGTGGGTGCTGGAAATTGAACTCAGGACCTCTGGAAGATCAGCCAATGCTCTTGACCACTGAGCCATGTTTTCAGACCAAGCATACTTTTAATAAATAGAGTCTGCCCATGTCAGGCTTTGATGATGCAGTTACTTTGTATGAACCTTTTTCTTGAGTGTATCCACTTCAACTTTTGGGGGAGAAGCCCTTCCTGATACCAGGCTGTTCTACTGTAACAGGAACATTCTGTAAGCCCAGTCCTTGACACACTGATACAAGAAGACTGTGAACTTGAAGCCAATGAGACCATGCCTCAGAAGGAAAAAAAAAAAAAATTAAAAAGAGACTCTTAGTATTAGCTATCCTATGTGTCTGCATCATTGCTCAATGCTACCCCTACCCCCACCCACACCCACATCGTAAGGAAAAGCAAATAGTCCAGGGTTCTCCCCTCAAATCAAGAACTGATGAATGGAAGGAGAATCAGTCTGATTCTAAATTTCCAAAAGAACTTAGATCAAAGGGTTTTTGTTTGTTTGTGTTTTATTGTTTGTTTGTTTGCTTGCTTGTTTTTCGGAGACGATTTCTCTGTAGCTTTGGAGCCTGTCCTGGAACTTGCTCAGTAGACCAGGCTGGCCTCGAACTTAGAGAGATCTGCCAGCCTCTGCCTCCCAAGTGCTGGGTTTAAAGGCATGAGTCACCACCCGGCTTCAAAGGATTTTTGTTTTTTTAAATTGGGGACAGAATCTTATTGTGTAGCTCTAATTCTGGCTGGCTTAAGACTCCTATATAAACCAGGCTAACCGTGCACTCACAGATCCACCTGTGATGATAATGGGCATCTGCAAGCCAAAGGTTACTGGGAGACAACAGAAACTAGAAAACCGGAGCATGGTTCGGCCCATACTGTGGTTTCAGACACCAGGTCTCAAAAAAAAAAAATCCTGTCCCTCCTTCCAAAAATCTTTTCAATTGTTTCTAGCTTCCCTCCCCCCCCCCCAGCATTTCATGTGTTTCTCTGTGTGTGTGTGTTCAGGAGTTAAAGAGGTTGTAAACAACCTGATGGGGTTCTGGGAACGACCATCCAGTCGTTGGATGGAAGAACAACAAGCACTCTTATCCACTAAGCCTTCTCTCCAACCCTTATCTAGCATTCTGTATTGTTTGAGAAATGATTTTTTTTTTAAGTACATTTATTTAGGGGTGGGGGAATGTGTTTGGGTGCACATGCCATAGTTGGGTGTGTGGAGATCAGAAGACAACCTCCAACAGTCAGTTCTTAGTTCTTTTATCCCACCAGGTGAGTCCTGGCTGTCAGTCTTTCAACAACAACAAAAAAATGTTTTCTTTTTTTTTTTTTTTTTTTTTCCTCTCAGTATGTAGCAGCTAGACCAGGCTGGCCTTGAGCTCACAGGAAAATGCCTTACCTCCTTCTCCCCAAGTGCTGGAATTGAAGTTATACAGCATCGCACAGGGAGCTGAAACACTTTAAAATTAACCCAGTACATAAGCCATGAAATCATAATTACTGTTGACACTGGACCCTTATAATGTTTTCAAAATTAGTATCTTTTACAACAAGCAAAGATTCACTGGAGGTCATCTGAGTTAAGCCCAGCATCTCTGACCCTAGATGTTTTCCAAAACAGACCAGAAAAATGTCAAGGCGTCTCTCAAGGGCAGTGAGGAAGCTAGGCCGCAGGGAAATGTCTGAACCTTCAGTCAGCCACAGCAAGAACTAATGTTAAAATGTGCTGGGGTTCCGGGGAAGCAGCTGGAAATTGAGCAAATTTGACAACCAAAGGGTATGGGGCTTTTGAATTTTTGTTCTGTTTTGTTTTGTTTGTTTTTTGAAATTAGCTCGTTAAAATATGAAAAGAACCGGCCAAATCTCACAAGATTTGAAGAGTAAGTAGAAACCTTCTTTGCCTTGAGACGTGAGCCTACTGTCTCTCCCAATTGGGATGGCCAGGAGAGGCAGATACAACCAATATTGTCATACACCGGACTGGAAGGGAGCGGAGGAGTCGTGAGCTTGAGGCCGGCACTGCCTCTTCATCAGGCCGAGCACATTTCACATCCACTGTGCTGCACAAGTCTCAGTTGCGTCGCTCAGTCCTGCAAGATTCACAGCTCTGACCCCGGTTGCAGCTCGCACTTTTCATTCCAGACAGAGGCAGGTGAATCTCCGAATTTGAGGCCAGCCTGGTCTACAGAACGAGTTCCAGGACAGGCCCCAAGGCTACACGGAGAAATCGTGTCTCGAAAAATTCGACTGCAGAGATGGCTTGGTGTTTAAAAGCGCTTGATACTGCGGAGTACCCTTTACCTAATTGTCCTGTTAGTGGTTTTGTTTGTTTGGTTTTTGTTTGTTTTTGTTTTCCACCTAATGCTCTTAGTGATTTTTTTCTTTTTTCCTTTTTTTTTTTTTTTTTCTTTTTTTTTCTTTTTGAGACGGGGGTCTCGTATAGCCCATGGCTCCCTTAAACTTGTTATGTTGACAAAGATCATGAACTCTCGGTCCTCCTTCCTCCCCGCCTCAGTGCAAGGATTATCTGCTTGCGCCAGCATGGCCGGTTTTACACGCTGCTGGTATATGGATCTCATGCTAGGTAAGCACTTTACCCTGTATTTAAGGTCTTGGAAACGGTGGCTAATTTAGAACTCAGCCATCGCCAGGGGGAAACCTTACGCTGCCTTTAGGCATAAGCCTGTCACCTGTAAAGTTTTCCGCTACCTTTTCCTAGAAAAACTAACGCAGCGGGTGGGATAAAGTGGCCTTCCAACTGGAGGACAAACCGTGTCTGCACATGAATCTTGAATCTGGTGTGATTCCCTAAATGTGTCCAGCGTGTGCTTGAGGAGATTTACTCCATGGAACAGAACGGGTCGTGCACGTAGCAGCCACTTCTAAATTCCCTCTCCCCCTACCGAGATGCAGCCCTTAAGCGGCTGCCCGGAGGCGGCTACCGGAGGCGCGGGAAAGCAGCACTACTAGAGCAGGATAAGGGGACCAAGATGCTGGCGACTACCTGAGACCCCCCACACACGTGCCCCGGGTCCAGGAGGCACGGGATCTAGAGCTCCACCCCCGGGCGGGGCGCTCCTGAGGCTCAACCCTCTGAGACTGGGTAGCTTGCTCGACTGCTGCATCCCTGTACGTCGGGAGATGTATCTCCGCAGGGCTGTGTCCAAGACTCTGGCGCTGCCCCTGAGGGCGCCCCCGGGCCCCGTGCCACTAGGGAAGGATGGTGAGTGCCCCGTACGTCTCTGTAGGTCCAGGCTAGAACCAGCGCCCGGAACCCGCCAGCACCCAGTCTCAGAAGTCTGGCTCAGGGTTGAAGGAAGAGTGAGGGAGGGTCTCAGGCAAGCGCTCCGATGTCTTTGGAAACTGAAAATAGGGAACTTTTTCCAGGGTGGCCTCTGAATCCAAATTAGACTTCCTAGGTCCCAACATTTATCTCCGTCAAGTAATATTTCTTCATTTTTTCCAAGGGAGCACCACAGTAGGTGTTAAGTTGTAAGTAATAGATGTGAAGTGAAAAATCACTTTAAAGAGGGTCTGGCTCACTGCTAGATTCCCACGTTGATTATTCAATGAATCTCTAGGCTCTCCAAAGAGGTAAAGAAACGTGTGTGTGTGTGTGTGTGTGGGTGGGTGGGTGGGTGGGTGGGTGGGTGTGTGTGTACGTGGGTGGGGGTCCACATGCTAGCAGGTGGGCTCCAGGCGTGGTTCCGGTGCAATGAACACAGGTGGTGCCGAACCCTGGAATCTCCCAGCCCTGAGCATCCCTCCGAAGTGGGTGGCCTCGCGTCATTGTTCTGACGTTGCTGAGAAGCTCACAGGTTCGTTAATTTTGGTTAGGGAATGCTCGTGGAAATTTTCTTAAAAGGAAAGCACCGAGTAACGCATCCTGGAACAGAGTAGGTGCTTAGCAGGGGTTGTACCCGTGGATCTGGACCGGTTGGCAGTTCCTCTCCAAGCTCAGTCCCCAGTCCTCAGCTCCCACTCCTACCCCTTGTCCATCACTCCCTGAGACACAGATCACCAACGCTAGAAAGTTAATCCTTGCAGTGCTTCACCCGACTCCCTGAGGCATCTGAGGCTGTGTCCAGAGAGAGACAGAGAGGGAGGGAGGAAGGGAGGAGAGAGAGAGAGAGAGAGAGAGAGAGAGAGAGAGAGAGAGAGAGAGAGAGAGAGAGAGAGAGAGAGAGAGAGAGAATACCTGCAGAAAATTCCATGAGCCACAAGGTTTTTGTTTTGTTTTGTATTGGTTTGGTTTGTTCACTCGTTTCTTCAGCTTTGATTGGTCCTGTGTTGATGGTGGAAGGTGAGAGGGAGATCTATCTATCTATCCACCTGTTCTTTAAATGCTATTTGAAAGAAGTCTCCCCACATGTATTAAGATGACTTCCCCTCTCTGTCTACCTCATAAGATAGCCATTTTCATCACTGATGAGGTAGGGAGAAGCCATTTAGTTTAAGCTAAAGATGATGGTGGCTGTTCTGATGTTCAGAGAAGGAGAAATATGAGTTCACTGACCACACACACACACACACACACACACCAGAGCCTGTTTGTGTTCAGAGGACAGCTTGCAAGAGTCAGTGGGTCCCAGGGACTGAACTAGGTCTTCAGGCTTGGCTATAGACTTTACCCTCTAGTCCTGTCATCTGCACCTTTTTTTACATCCCCTGACCCACACCCCACATCAAAATAAAGGTAATGTTAATATTCTAAACTTGCAGTTAGAAGTCCTGGGTGCTATGGTACTGATCTAAACTTCACTTAATTGCTTTCATTTTGTATGGTACTAAGGGTTGAACTTAAGGCATGCCATCACTTTACTAGGCAAACTTGTTTGTACTGAGTACTGACCTATAGCCACAGCCACAATTACTACTATAATTTGTCCATTTGTTTTTGTATTTATCTATCTATTTCTTTATTTTTAAGGCAAAGTTTCTCTGTGTAGCCCTACCTGCCCTGGAACTCACTCTGTAGATCAAGCTGGCCTCAAACTCAGATTGGGATTAAAGGTGTGCACAAGTCTGCCACTGACTGGAATCTTAAATGTGTCTTCCTTTGTGGGCATTGATTAATATTTTATTGGTATTTCCTACTTAGATAAAAAATAGATTTGTTTCAATATTTTGTTTTTTGAAAGACTTTTTTTTAACTATCATTAAGTTTTGTTCTGCTTTTTGCTGAACTTTTTGGGTTTTCAAAATATATAACTTTTTAATGAATCGTTTAGGCTTAGAATAGTTTGTTGGGAAAATGCCAGGAAGGCAAAAATATATATATATATATATATATGTATATATATATATCACTTCTAATTCTTCCATTCAATAAATATCATTGTTTATGGTTAATCTACTTAGTTTTAGAGGTTTTTGTTGTTTTTGCTTTATAGAAACAAGGTCTAGATACTCAGTATGGTATGAAACAGTCCCCCTGCCTTACCCTCCCAAGTACTGGCATTACAGTGTGAGCCAGCACATGCAACAACTGCTGGTTGTTTTCTTCCTCTTATCTGAGGTCTTCTGCCACAGGCTGTATTGCTAAGGGTTTTCACATGATGTACAGCAGAATTTTTTTGCAGTTTGGAGAGCTGTCTCAGCAGAGGATCTGGGTCAATTCCCAGTACCCACAAGATGGCTCAAAACAGTCTGAAACTCCAGTACCAGGGAACCTGACATCCACCCTGATCTTTGAAGCCTTCAGGTGCACATACATACATACTTGCAGGCAAAATACTCATGCACATAAAATGATAAATCAAAAAATAAAATTTTTTCTCACATAAGCAAATCCCAGTCTTTAATTGTATAAGTCTACTAAAATATATTTAATTTATTCCTATTGGAAAGTTCTCTTACTGCTATTTTAAATAACTCAGCTGAATAGTTTTTAAGTCTACTTGCATTGATGAAGTTTTTTTTTTTTTCTTTCCTTTTGTTTTGTTTTTTTCAAGACAGGGTTTCTGTGTAGCCCTGGATATCCTGGAATTCCCTGTGTAGACTAGACTGGCCTTGAACTCAGAGATCTGCCATCCAAATGCTGGGATTAAAGGCATGGACCACCATATCCCATTGCTGATAATGTTATTTTTCTCTATTTAATAAAATCTTTCTGGAGTACATGGGGTATAGCTTACCCAGCAGTTAGGAACTCCTGGGTTTGACTCCTAATTAAAAAAAAAAAAATCCTGGACCACATAAGAAACACAAGTATCAAAATGTTGTGAGGTGTTTTGGTTTGTTTTTATTTTATTTATTTATTTTTGGTCCTGGGGATGGAATTCAGGCCTCCTACATATTAGACACACATTCTACCATAGGTGGAGTGGGGTTTGTGGGGGAGAGTTGTTTGTTTTAGCAATGAGATTTGGGTCAGTGAGTTGCCTCAGAAGTACAGGTACTCATCATCCAACCTGATGACCCACACAGTAGAAGGAGAAAAGTAACTCCCAGGAGTTGCCCTCTGACCTCCACACACATGCTAAATTAAACTTAAGAAGAAGTGAGATTTCATTATGGGATAGAGGCGGATTCCAGACGTCTTCCTGCCACAGCCTTCTCAGCAGCTGGGCCTAGGACATGCACATCCAGATCACAGATTTGTTTTTAAGCCAATAAAAGTCTCACTGCAAACTAGCCATGTGACTGTGACCCCAGTGTTCAGGGGACTGAGTCAAGAGAATGGCCAAGAGTTTGACTGGCTTCAGCCTAGTGAGATCTTGTCTGGACAAGTATAGGGTCTAATGCATTCTAAGCACGAGCTCGACCCATCATTAAGTGCAAGTTTTATCTTTAGGAATAAGTGTGCTTAATTAATTTTTAAAGCAACCACATCTCTCTTTCTCAAGTGGACAGCTTAAAAAAAAAAAAAGAACAGAAAAAGGAAAAGTAATACTTCTGATCATATCTGTTTTGGATATATATGGAGGAAAATATTTCTTTTGCATCTCATTTGGCTATTAAGCTTGTTTAGTTTCTCTATGATTCTTCATGCACATCTGCCCTGCCTGATGTCTCACATCAAGATGGCAGGTCTCACGAGCACTCCTCACACACACAGGCGCCTCTAATGCTGTGTTCCCTGAAGTGAAAATCCACTGTGTTGATAGGCTCCAAGTTCACTGAGGGGGAAAAAATGCCTAAAAGATGTAATTACTGAAGATGCCTGTACTTACATGGTGAAGGTAACCATGTTTAAATTTATTTTCCTAGCATCTCTTCGTCGAGTGTCATCCAGCAAATTCCCTGGAACATCTGGGTCCAATATGATTTACTACCTGGTTGTCGGTGTGACAGTCAGCGCTGGTGGATATTATGTAAGTGCTTAAAGACCTATTAAAGAGTTCATGTGCCTGGCTTGCTAGCCCACAGCTTTAATCCCAGTGCTGTGAGTTCAAGGTCAGTCTGGTCTGCATTCCAAGTTCCAGACCAGCAAAGGACCCTTATGGAGACAGGTCTGTCTCCAAAAAGGGGGTTGGTTCAAGTGGCGGGCAGGCATTGATTTCTCTTCTGTGCTATACTGAAATAGTTCTTGAAACTTCTAATGGTGGTTGCATATGGAACTGAATATGATGAATCTTAGAGAGGGAGAAAGAAACCTAAGCACACATTTTCTTTCAGACTTACAAGGCTGTCACATCAAAGCAAGTCAGACATACAGAACATGCAAAGGATGTGAGAGAGCAAACAAAAGCAGAGTTACAGCCAATGCCAGGTAAAGCGAACTTCCTATTGTTTACTTATCAGAAATGGGTTTCATGAGCCCCAGGCAGGATGGCCCTGCGCTAGTGATGCTCCCACCTGCATATGTGGTGCTCCCGCCTGCACTTGTGCTGCTCCAGCCGCTGCTTCTTGAGCTGGGATTACAGACATGAACCACCACACTTGGTTCTTTCTGTCATTTCTTTAGTAACTCAATCAAGAATTGCTATGTGTAGGGATTCACTCAGGAAGGAAGGTCATGGTCCCCTGGAGTTACTAGCTTTGGATGAGTGCATTTGATAAATGAACGAGTTTCCCTGTGTACCGTTTGCTGTGAGGCCGTTCCCATTCTTCTGTATGGTAATATTATTTCTACTACTCAGACACCCATTCATGCAAGCATAATTTTAGCATCTGTCTCAGCAGTTTAACCTCTCACTTCTCCCATTATTGTTTTAAATTATAGTCTAATTTTTTTTTTTTTTTCGGTTTTGGCCAGCACCACCCATGTGTCTTTCTCAAAGTATACTTCACATGAGCTGAATCAGTCAGCATCCTGAGTGGCCTGGAAAACGGCCACTGTGGGAACAGAAACTTCACAGTTTCACCCTAACATCTATTTCTTGCCTCAAATAGCTTACTTTAAATTTTTAAAGATTCATTTTGTTTTATGTGTGTGTGTTACCTGCATAGAAATATGTATAGTACATATGGTATACCCAGCTGTCATAGTGTCCCTGTCCTGTCCCTTCTGCACTCCAGAACCAAATTATAGATGTTTGTGAGCCTCCATGTGGGTGCTGGGCAACAAACCCCAGTCCTCTGTAAGAGTAGCTCCCTCTCCCCCACAACCCCGAGCTCTTAACTGAGCCATCTCTCCAGTGCCAAGCTAATTACTTTAAATTATACTTTTTTTTTTCTTTCTAGACTATGATGCTATTACCAATTACTGTGGTCACTATTTAGGAACAGAGATGTTAGCAGCTCAGGAGCCAGGATTTGCTTTATGGTTTTATTTGTTTTGTTTTGGGGGAGAGGTTGTTTTGGTTTGATTTAAGGTCTTTTGTTGTGGTAGTTGGGAGTTTGGTTTGGTTTGGTTTGGTTCTCACTATATAGGTCAGGCTGGCCCTGAACTCACAGAAATCTACCTACCTCCACCTCTGGAGTGCTGGAACTAACAAGTGTGCACCACAAGGCAGGACATTCAGTTTTAATTTTTTGTTATGACATTAGGAAACAGAGTAGTAGAGCCAGAGAGATGGCTTGGGAGGATAAAGATAATCACAATACTTGAAAAATGGAGCAGGAGGCTCAGGAGTTCAAGGTTACATGGCAGATTAATGGCTAAGCTAGGCTGTTTTTAAATGTTGTCTCAAAAAATGTTCCCTTCCCCCGAATTAAAATAAAGTAAAATGATTGCATTATTCCACTCTATTCCGATGTTCTTCCAATTAATACTTTTGCTTAACGAACTAAATCTTAAAGGCGAAAAGGAGCATGTGGCAGGAGCGGGAGAAATTTCTGTAAAGGAAACTGAATTGGTATATGCTGAGGAAGTCCCAGAGGCGGCAGCTGAACCTCCAGAAGAGTCTCAGGTCTTAGCGGCCTCCAGCGAGGCTGCCCTAGTGGAGACATCCACTTTGAGAGAGGAGCCTGAGCTGAAGATCGCCGAGACTTCCCCGGGGGAGACCCCCGAGGGAGTCCCTGAACCCACTACTGAGGAGGAGAGCGCAGCTCCTGAACCCACTGCAGAGGTGGAGAGTGCAGCTCCTGAACCCACTGCGCAGGTGGAGAGCGCAGCTCCTGAACCCACTGCACAGGTGGAGAGTGCAGCTCCTGAACCCACTGTGCAGGTGGAGAACGCGGCTCCGGACCAGGGTGGTACCAGCACAGAGGGTGAGGGTACCGCTGGGAAGCAGAGCTGCGAAGAGAGTGCTGAACTAGAAGAAAGCCCTCCCTCCGAACCCTCTGCCCAGTGTGATTCACAAGAAGAAACCGAGGTCACAGCAGAAGCAGCCTCACCCCAAGGCTGATCTGTAAAATTCCACAGTTTAGCAACCTTAGACCTTCTTTCTAGAACTTAATATAACCTTAAAGAATTTTGCTTTTACTAATAGATGTTTGGGTTGGGGTTTGGTATTTTACATTTCCTAATAGTTTTCTACCCTCTAAGATCAGGCTGTGTAAAGAGCTTAAACAGTATTAACTTTGGATTTAAATGTTACGTTTTAGAAACTGAGTTCTCTGTGCAACCTATATCTCTTTGATTTCTGCTCTGCCTTTCTCTTTGTTATATGTAAGACTGTACTATTGAGTTTGACGTGAATTCATTTAAATAAAATTAGACTGCTTTAAGTATTTCTATTCTTTCTTATTGTTGGGGGAGGGGACTTGTGGTTAGGATAAGGATATCTACTGCCCAAGCTGACCTGGAGCTCACTACTTAGCCTGGGCTAGCAGCCTTGCTCGGTCTTGGGCTTATGGATGTGAGCCGAGATCACATCAGGGCCTGGGGTTTCTATTCTTACAATGTACATACAGAAGTACATGTATTACACATTAACCTCCATGCACACATCCTCACACAAAGACAGCAAGCTTTGTAATATTACTGCCCTTTCCCTGATTGTTATATAAGGGAGGGTGTAAGCTTTTCTGGTCCAGTTCAGTGTTTACTGAGGATTTACACTTCCTGCCAGGAATCGTTCATGCATGCATGCATGCAGCAAATATTCACAGAGTGCCTTCAGCCTACCAGCCACGGTTTTAAGTGATCCTATGTTTATACTTTAGAGTGGGACTAGATAACAAGACAAATAAAATTAGATATACTGATTAGGTAGAGTTTGCAAGTTTCAGTTGGGAGTGAAATTGTCATGTTAGATGACAGTAAAAGCAAATCTTATTTTATTCTATAAGACAGCCCTTGCGTCAAACTCACTATATAGCCCCAAGGCAAACCTTCAACTTCTCAGTGTCCCAAGTGCTAGCTTTTTTGTTTTGTTTTGTTTTGTTTTGTTTTAAACAGAAAGACTAAATCGTTTATTGATATCAGTTCAGCAGCCACTGACCCTGGCCTTCTCCCCATGTCCTTAAAATGGGTGTGCAAGCAGGCCTTTCCATTGCTTGCTCAGACCTAAGCGCTGGCTTTCAGAACAGCTTTGTACTTCCCTGTCACCTCATTGGTTAAAGGCACCAGGCCAGACAGTGAACCTGACCTTCCACTTCACACAGCACACACTCTCCCACAAGCAGTACTGTGGGGGCAAGTGGGAGGTGCAAAGCTAGCTGGATAAGCTTGCTGCTGCTTCCCCAGCTCCTCCTCTTTCTTGGGTCAAGGGGGCCTCCTCTTTCTTGACCCCAATTTTTTTTTTTTTAATGTGCTCCATGATCTCTTTTTGATTCGTGGTCTCCACATCTATCAGCACCTGCTCCCAACTCCCCTTGCCTGTTGTAGTTCACAGTCATGACCTTCATCGAGTCCTTGAACATCATGCCCTAGGGACTGCACCAGTCTGGTATAGGGAAGCGAAGCGGCTGTTCATCGGCATGGTGACCACAGTAGCTTCTTCCTAGTGCTACATTTACAGATGTGTGCCACCATAGCCAGCCAGAGCAAATCTTTTTACGAAGGTGTCTTTTAATGCAGTCTGATGACCCTAGAGGGGAAGTCGCGCCAGGTGAGGTAACAGAAAAGTGCAAATGATCTGCTGCCAAAGCATGCTGGGAAATTCCAGAAATTTGAGGTGGCCAGTATGGGTGAGGAGGAGTAAGAAAGAAAGAGAATAACTGGAGATGTTTCAGAAAAGAACGGGAGGGGTGAACTCAGGCACGATGATGGTACATTTTACCCCAGCACTCAGAGACTGGGGATGGCAGTTCATGAGTTCGAGGTCAGCTTTAGCTACATACATAGAAGAACCTTGCTTCAAAAGAGGAAGCAGGTGGGGAAGGGGGAGATGGCCTAGATAACACAGAGTTATGCAAGATCTGCAGCATCACTAGAGTTAAACATGGCTGCTGATGACATTCTGTTTTGATCCCCTTAACTGGGAACATTTGCTCCCAGCTGTTATGACTATTCTTTCCCCAGGCCCCTCCCTGGCTGGTCCTCATTCCAGGCAGCTTGTAACCAATGACTGACCATCATACCAGCATGGAAGGTGGGGCCAGCTCAAGTACAGTGCGCCAGAACTCTACCTGGCTCAGAACTCAAAATGGTCCCTGGCAGAGATTACATCCTGCTTAACATATTTTCCTGCTCTTTCCTTCATCCCTCCTTCCTTCCTCCATTCTTTCAGTAACAATGCCCAGGAAATTCTGCATCCAGAGAATTTTATCTCAGATGATTGGCAGTGGGTGTGTCTAGATTAGAAAGAAATAGATGGATGAAATTGACTGTCCAGCTAATGCCCCTGGGATCTGAGAGATAAAGACACAGAAACTACAGAGCTTAATCACAACTCTGAGGACAGACTGACACCTTGTATTTGCCTCTAATTTGTCTCAGTATCAATTCTCCATGAGATCCATAAATCTAAGACCTGTGGATGGATTAGAAGTGTCCATTCACTGAATCATCTGAGATGAAACAGAAGCACTCCTGGTCCACACACACACAGATACACTCATAGTGCTCTCTCTCTCTCTCTCTCACACACACACACACACTCCTTAGTGCACTCACACACACACACTTCTTAGTGCACACACACACATATTCCTTAGTGCACTCACACAGAGATACACTCATAGTGCACTCACACACACACATACACATTCCTTAGTGCACTCACACACACACACACAGATTCACACTCAGTGCACTCACACACAGATACACTCATAATGCATTCACACACAAACACACAGAAGCACTCCAGATATATTTTTGTTTTATTTTGTAATTAATAAATTAATTTTTATTATATTGTTTTTTGAGACAGCATTCATTGTGTAGCCTTGGTTGTCATGGAATTAACTCTGTAGGCTAGGCTGGCCTTGAATTCAAAATTAAAGGCATACACCACCACTGCCCAGGTATTTGTCACTATTTTAGTTGGGATAATTTCTGCTGCAAAGAAGAGACACTGGTTGACAATGATTCAGAGACTGTCATTATACAACAAGGCCTCCAGGGCTGTTTATCATCATGCTTTCAATCAAGAATAATTGACACCTGGCCTGGAGAGATGTTTCACTGGATAAGAGCATACTGTTCTTGCAGAGGACCTGAACTCTATTTCCAGTACCCACATCTGATAGTTCACACTGCCTGTAACTCCAGCTTCAGGGGCTCTGATACCCCTTTGTCCCCACTCATATGCAGACAGATACACATACATAAATAAAAATAATAAAATATAAAGCGGGGTGTTGATGGTACATGCCCTTAGTCCCAACATCTGGGAAGCAGAGGCAGGTGAATCTCTATGACTTGGAGAACAGCCCAATCTACAGAGTGTATTCCAGGACAGCCAAGGGTACAAAGCAAAATCCTGTCTTGAAAAAAAATAAAAAAAAAATAAAATATTTAAAAGGAATGTTTGCAAGCCAGGCATAGTGGTACACACCTTTAATCTCAGCACATGGGAGACAGAGGCTGTAGCATCTCTTTGATTTCAAGGCCAGCCTAGTCTACATAGTGAGCTACAGGCCAGCCAGTGCTATGTGCATAGCAGTTTTTCCTAATAGTCACAGGACACATCACCAAAGTGCTCCAGATCCTATTCACAAAAAGAAGTTATCTTGTCTTAGAAAGTAAACCTTAAATGCACACTTCTCTTTTCAATACTCTGTTGTAGAAAGTCCACTAACTTAAGAAGAGTGCGCTGGGCGTTGGTGACGCATGCCTTTAGTCCCAGTACTCGGGAGGCAGAGGCAGGTGGACCTCTGTGAGTTCGAGGCCAGCCTGAACTATAGGGCTTGTTCCAGGATGGGCTCCAAAGCAATACAGAGAAACCCTGTCTTGGGAAAAAAAAAAAAAGGAAAGAAAGAAAGAAAAAGAAACCAACTAGCATGACAACTTGCTTCCTGACTTCCCTAAAATGCCAGACTGTAATCTTAAACCTTGAGCCAAACAAACCCTTCTTTCCTCGTGTTGCATTTATTCCAGGACAGTTAGAGTTGTCCTAAAGTGTGGATTTGGTCATATATCTCCCAGCTAAAACTTCACTTCCCTTCCATACCATGTGATTGGAATGATAAAATTTTGACGTGTTGGGGCTCCATAACTATTTAATAGCACTGTAAATATTATATGAGCCAGCAAGATAACTGAGTAACTGTGCTTGCTGAGCAAGCCTGATGACCTAAGTTCAATACCAAGAAACCATGGAAAGGAGGAAAGAAATGACTTCATCTTCTGATCTCCACACATGCTCCCCTCCCCACTACCATGGCTTGAACCCCTATACAAATCACAAATTGATCTTAAATTGTATCAATAAATGGAAATCCATTCCAAAATAAAGTATCCATTTCTATTAATATAAGTGTTTCCACAAGGTCTTATCTTACCAGAGAGAGGGTTTGGACCTCTTCTCCCAAGTCTCTACCTCTTTAATCTCCTCCTACATCTCCCAGAATCCTCCTTGTCTCCTAGTCCCACCTATCTTGCCTTCCTATTTGCCAACAGTGCTTTATTCATTAACCAATAAGAGAAACATAGTTACAGAATGACATCTCCCATCACATCCCTCAGCAGTGTCACACTCACAAATAAGTAAATAAAACCTCTTGTTTTGGTTATTGTGTTGTCCTATAGTCTTCAACCATTTTCCTTCCCCACAATGCAGACATCCTAAATGATTTCATATTAGCTCCTGTAGCTGACACCCTGTTTTATGCCTCAGTTGTGCCTGTATGAGGGCTGGGAAGAAGATCCATGGTTTCTTGATTGCTTATTTGTGTGGGAGGGCCTGGGCCACTGTGGGTGGTGCCACTCCCAGTTGGTGGGCCTGGGGTATAAGAAAGCTTGCTGATGGTCTACAGAGTGAGTCCCAGGACAGCCAAGGCTACACAGGGAAACCCTGTCTCAACAAAACA